TATTTTTTAAGTTAAAATCAGGGTTTAGTTCATCAAGTCTATTATTTTTGGAATGTATTCCATCTTTTCTGATGTGTTTTTGTACATTTCCCACAGACTGTTTCCTGGCTGGGAGCTGAATGCTCCGTGATGGACGACTGTGTGCAGTCAGTCTCTGAGCCCACAGACCTGAAAAATCTGCTCCAGCACCACAAACGCCTCGGACATTTAGAGCAGCACGGTAAGTCATGGGCACATCTGTTGTATGTTACTTTTAATGTAACCCTCAGAGTAACTTTTGTTTTTTCTTTGTCCTTTTTGTCCAGTTCCACCTTCTAGTATGGGCGACAGCATCCTTTCCTCGCTCTCCGCCGTTCTCCCAAGCAAAATGTCAAAACCTGTAGAACAGCCCAACCAATCAGATTCACTGCAAGGCCTCAGTGAAGACACACACACTGTATCGTTTGTGGATGATGTAGCGGTTGAAATAATTACAGTGACGGACTATGCAGAGGTTGAATTAGGCGCGAGCGCTGACATCGAGGTGGTGATGGGAGAAAGCTGCTTTGAAGGAACAGAAACTTGCTCAGTGGTGGAAGATTCGCTGGTGGTGCTTCCTGAAGAGAAGCCCAGAGAAGAGGAAGCAGGTGAAGCAGAGGAAGCAATGCCAGAAAAAGTTTTGAAAAACACTTGTTTAGAAGTGAACAAGGATGAGTCAGCGTCGCAACATAAGATCCCCGTGGGACCACACGACTGCCCCGACTGTGACAAGAAATTCAAGTTTGCCTCCTCTCTAATCGCCCACAGGGTCATCCACACCGGAGAGCGTCCACACCGCTGCAGTGACTGCGGCCGCTGCTTCTCCTTCAGGCAGTCCCTCGACAGGCACAAACACACCCACAAAACAGGACGAAAGTACGACTGCGTCATCTGCGGGGAGACCTTCCAGTCCCTGTCGGCTCGTACAGAGCACAAGCAGACACACATGGAAAAAGGTGTTTACGCATGCTTTCAGTGCAGCAAGAAGTTCAACTGGGAGATGGCACTTGCAAGGCACCTAAAAACTCACATTGATGATATTAACAATTCCAACAAGCCTACGGGGAGCAGTGAAGACGGGCAGGAGCCTGAAGACAACATAAGTGATGCTAACGTTGCTGAAGCTGAATGCCAGGTGCAAGCAGATGGTAATGGTGATGAGCATCCAGAGGGTTGGAGCAATGAGTGTCCCGCCTCTGAACTGGAAAATGATGTCATCTCTGCAGTCAAGATCCGCACAAGTGGGCGCAAACGCAGGCCGACCATGAAGATCCAGGTGATCAATTTACAGAAACGCATGACCACCAAAAGAAGGAAGGAGATGACCAGGGTGAACCCTCCAGCTCTGAAGCCGCTACCTTTCAACTGGTAAAATCCTTCCTCCTCATTTTGTTTGAAGTGCTCTTGTCTCACTACTGGGTTCATTTATTTCAGGGTTTTTTTTTTCCCATCCTGGTGCAGTGATTTATAATTTGTAGTTGTTAACGTTAAAGCTTAAAGTTGGGGTAGGCAGCATTGGTGTTCCAAACACATACAAAAATATATATTTCAGGACAAAGTGATCCGACGGGACACTAGAGTTTGTTCGTTTTCTAGGCTCTGTTGTCAGACTTCAGAAAATCCGGCCTATGATGAGACCCTTAAGCATTCCTTTTTACAAAGACCAGGAGAAAAGTATATACAGAGCAATGACTTTTCAGTCTGGAGGTAAACTGCACAATTTTACTGAAGGTCTGGTGTGACCCACAAGTGACTTTTAGCTTCACTGTTTCTGTGCATCTTGTCTGGTGGGAGAGTAGAGCTGCCTTTTCCAGATTCCAGAATATAATGTA